CATGTTGCCACATGTAGCCCATCTAGTCAGTGTCAAATTCTGAAACAGTAACTGTAACTGTGTTATAGCAGGCGTGTTTTTCAGTGAGCAAAGATCATGAGTGTTTATGCTCAGTTTTACTCACCCAGCGTAGATTGAGACATTTAACACGTGGGATAGTGCTTGGTGCTGGGGAGTTATAGACACGTGAGAGATGTAGAATCACCCACAGTGACAGCCACAGCCTTGGCATCAGACACGTGTCAGAAGTGATACTGGAAGGGTTCACCAGGTGCTGTGGGGGTCGGAAGGTTAAGTCCTTCTTGCAGAGAAATGGGAAAAGACCAGGGTTACTAAAACCAGAAGGAAGCAGAAACAGGGCTGGGCTGGGACACAGCTCACTGGGAGAGCACCCGCTTGATACACACAAGAAAGATTCGGTGCACAACCCTTCCACTGCACATCCATTTATAAAACTCAGTTGTAAAATAATTGTGTACACTTATGCAAGTTTTGTTATTAAAATAAAAAAATACTTGTAAACTGCAATTAAAAATGTGCAGGGGCTGGAGAGGTGCTCAGCAGGTAGGAACATTCGTTTTCCCTCCAGACCCAAGTTCAATTCCCAGCACCCACATGGTGGCTAACAACTGTTCATAATTGCAGTTCCAGGGGATCCAACAGCCTCTTCTGGCCTCTTCGGGCTCTGCACACACATGGTGTACCTACATACATGCAGGCAAAACACTTATAAATAAATATGCAGTCAGGGCTGGGGAGATGACTCAGAGGATGCGGACACTTCCTATGCAGCATGAGGACCTGAGGTTGGATTTCTAGCACCCATAGAAGAGCCAGGCATGGCTGTACTTGCCTGAAACCCCAGTGCCATGGGGGGGCAGTAGATTCCATGTGTGGAGGTGGTAGATCCTGTGGGTGGAGGCAGTAGATCCTGTGGGTGGAGGCAGGTAGATCATGTGGGTGGAGGCAGGTAGACCCCATGGGTGGAGGCAGGTGGATCCTGTGGGTGGAGGCAGTAGATTCCGTGGGTGGAGGCAGGTAGATCATGTGGGTGGAGGCAGGTAGATCCTGTGGGTGGAGGCAGGTAGATCCCATGGGTGGAGGCAGGTAGATCCTGTGGGTGGAGGCGGTAGATCCTGTGCATGGAGGCAGTAGATTCTGTGCGTGGAGGCAGGTAGATCCCATGGGTGGAGGCCGTAGATCCTGTGGGTGGAGGCAGTAGATTCTGTGGATGGAGGAAGGTAGATCCCATGGGTGGGGCAGTAGATCCCATGGGTGGGTATGGTAGATCCTGTGAGTAGAGGCAGGTAGATCATGTGGGTGGAGGTGGGTAGATCCCGTGGGTGGGTGGAGGCAATCGATCCCATGGGTGGAGGCAGTAGATCCCGGGGTCTTGCTGGCCTGCCAGTCTAGCCGACATGAGAGTCAGTTAGAGAGTCTATTGTAGAATGTCAAGTAGAGATGATAGAAGACAACCAAAGCCAGTCTTTGTCCTTCACAGGGGCACATGCAAGGGAATGCACCCACACATGTATACACACACAGATATTCTACACACACGGCCCCCCACAACCACACATATTACATATACCACACACAGACACGAACTCTCTCTCACACTCACACATACATACACATACTGCACACATATGTACACACAGAAATACCACATACTTATACACGCACATGCACATACTACATGTACATACTGCCCCCACAATCTCACATACCACACATACCACATACACACACATAGTGCACATACATGCTGGCCTCAACAACCATGCATACAGCATACACCACACACACATGCTGCATACGCACACTGTCCCCATAACCACAACACCATACACACATACATACACTTCACAAAAAATACTGCTCCCACCATACATACCACACATGCACACACACAAACTCTTTCTCACTCAATCACATATAAACACATACCCCACATACATATACCACACACACACATACCCACATACATGCACATACATATTGCCCCCCCACAATCACATATAAACACATACCCCACATACACATACCACACACGCATCTACACATAGCACACACATTCCAAAATTCTTAATGCACAATGGAAGTTTTTGAGTCACTTTTGAGGTCCACATGTCAATAACTTAGTACAGTTTCCAGGGATAATGTACATATAAGGTGAATGCAGGTTATAATTTAGCGATAAAGGCTGTTTTTAAACAAGATGAACTGCTTAAATGGCTCGATGGATAAAGGCACTTGCCACATAAGCCTGTCAGGCTGTGTTTGATCCCCAGAGCCCTCTGCGGAAGGAAGACCTGAGTCCTGAAAGCTGTCCTCTGACCTCCATCCATGTACTCACACACATGTCATACACACATACACACAGTAATAATGATAACAAATAATGTTTTAAATTATGGAAGATGAAGGTGATACTGTTTTGTTTCCCTCTAAGAAAGCAGCACAGAGAACTGGCGTGCATCCCCGAGTGCCCTGCCCTCCACTCCCCCTGTGTAAAAGTGCAGCTGAGCACTGGGCAACTGAGCAGTGGTCTCCCAAGCACTGTGATCTTGAACATGGGCCTCCTGAGCACTGGGCTACTGAGTAGAGCTCTCCTGAGCACATCTCCTGAGCAGGTGTCCAGCCCTGACCACAGCTGGGGAACCAGGATGCTCTCCCAAGCTTGAGTCTTTGATTAATATGAATATCTTCACTTTCTTCTTTCATTCCAGACTGAACTCTATTGACGTGAAGTACCAGATGTGGAAACTGGGAGTTGTGTTCACAGACAATGTAAGCCTCCTTCATCACCATCCCAGGAAGCCTGTTCATGCGATGAGTCTGTGGATGGAAAGAAGTTATTTGAGGAAGTTATTCAAGTACTAATACAACTAACAAACACCAAGCACGGTGTCTAAGAGACACCCAGGCACAGAAGTGCTTAATCTTTATATGAGAAAAGAAAATGTGCAGGTTGTGGTAGCGCACACCTTTAATCCCAGCATTCAGGAGGCAGAGGCAGGCAGATCTCTGAGTTCAAGGCCAGAAGGTCTCTATAGAGAGATCCAGGCCAGCTGGGGCTACAGGGAGACCCTGCTTCAATAAATAAATAAATAATAAATAAATAAACAAACAAATAAATAAATACCCCAAACAACCAAAAGAACAAAAATACATACAAACTCATTCATTTGTTCAGATTTTAGTTGGATGAGGTATACTTCAAAGGTTCGTAGATTCTCAAGAAAACACAAATAATTTTTTAAACTTACTTCTCTTAGAAGGGAGGCGGGAAGAGGCGAGGGGAACTGACAACTCACAGAAGGGAAGAGACGGCTCTGACAGACAGAGGAGGAGGAGGCACAACAATCAAAGCATTTATGAAAATGCCATAATGAAATCCATTACTTTACATATTAACTTTAAAAAACAATCACATTTTTAAAAACAGTTGTGTTAACTTTTTCTCCCAAATTAAGAACATGAAATCATTGTGTTTGTGGTCTTAATTTATCCTTATCAAATGCCTTTTAGAAACCAAACATAATGCCTGAATATACATATATTTAAATATGATTGAATGCAATCATCCATTAATCATCCATTATCAAAATCTTAAGAGTCACCTCAAGATGTCA